CCTTGCACAAGGCTGACCTGGGACTTTTTTTTTTTTTTTTTTTGCCACACCTAGTGGTACTCAGGGCTTACTCCTGGCTCTGTGCTCAGGAATCACTCCTGGCAGATTTGAGGGACCATATAGGGTGCTAGAGATCAAACCCAGGTCAGCTGCAACATCCTATCTGCTGTACTATGGCTCCAGCCTCCGACCTGGGTTTTATGTTCAGCCAGAAGGAGTGATCCTTGAGTGCAGAGCCAAGAGTAAACCCCGCGCTCAGAGCTCAAAGGGCCATATGATTGCTTTGCATACAGGAGAGCCATTCTCAATTCCCAGCATGGTCTGATCCCCCAAGCACAGATCTGAGAGTAGTCTCTGGAAATAGGTGGGAGGGGCCCCAAACCAAAACATAATAGAAAATGAAAAAACCTCACAGCATGTTACAAATCGTCTGTCCTTATTACTATAATGATGACTCTTATTTTTGGTATATGTGTGATTACTATGATTTTGTATTTCACAATTGGACAGCACAGTCATTCATCGCTTTTTCTTTCCATGTATTGATTTATGGGGGCTGAACTGCCTCTGGAAATTCAATTTAGGTAAACAGTTCATAGAACATCTCTAAAGGTATTTAAGTCTTCCCGGAGCATTCTTGCTCAGTGAAAGAAAAATTGACTTCAGAATTAAGAGGAAAGAATGTAGATATAGGGGCTGGAGCGATAGCACTGCGGGTAGGATGTTTGCCTTGTAGGCAGCCAACCCAGGTTCAATTCCCAGCATCCCACGTGGTCCCCCAAACACCACCAGCAGTAATTCCTGAGTGCATGAGCCAGGAGTAACCCCTGTGCATCGCCAGGTGTGACCAAAAATCCCTTTAAAAAAGTGGGTATATTCTCCCCAATGAGCAAAGAAAAGACTCTGTATCTCATATAGCCTTTCCCCCTAAGCACCAGACTCATAGATTCTACCATCAAAGAGGTATCACATAGCTTAACTGGCTCTAACACTTGACATAGTCAAATGAACATGACCAACTAGAATGTGAAATGAACTCATCTTTCCCCTTCAGGTCTTCCCTTCCTGACAGGCTTCACCTCTCAAAAATTGTCATCTTTCGATTGTTCAAGTCACTAATATCAGGTAAAGGTAAGGTAAAGGCCCTCCCGTTGTTCATCGATTTGCTCGAGCGGGCCCAGTAATGTCTCCATTGGAAACTTTGTTGTTACTGTGTCTGGCATATCGAATACATCACGGGGAGCTTGCCAGGCTCTGCCGTGCGGGCGAGATACTCTCGGTAGCTTGCCGGGCTCTCTGAGAGGGGCGGAGGAATCGAACTCGGGTTGGCCATGTTGGCTGCATGTAAGGCAAACGCTCTACCGCTGTGCTATCACTCCAGCCCACTAATATCAGAGTCATCTTTAATTTTTCCTTTTTTTAATCCTCTACCCACACGTCTCAAGAACTGCTTCCTCTACTTCCTAAACAGCTGTTTAGTCCCTGTATTCCTTCTATTTTGTTTTGTTTTTTGTGCTGGAGCGATAGCACAGCGGTAGAGCGTTTGCCTTGCACGCAGCCAACATGGCCGACCCGAGTTCGATTCCTCCGCCCCTCTCGGAGAGCCCGGCAAGCTACCGAGAGTATTCGATATGCCAGACACAGTAACAACAAAGTCTCCAATGGAGACGTTACTGGGCCCCGCTCGAGAAAAATCGACGAACAATGGGAGGTCAGTGACAGTGACAGTGTTTTTCGTTTGTGGGTAAGGGTTGGGGCAAGAGGTAGCAGTGCTGGGGATTACTTGCAGCTCAGGGCTTGGGGGCTGTTCCTAGCAGACCATGTGGTTATGTGGATCAAACTCAGGGCTACAGCAAGCAAAGAAACTTTGCACTATCTCCCCAGCCCAATTTCTCTTTCCTTTGAAAGCAAATTCGGGAGCGGGGAAAGGGGCAGGGAGTAGGATTGAACTTTTAGCCACACCAGAGCTTACTCCTGGCTCTGGGCTTAGGGGTCACTCTTGGCGGTGTTTAGGAGATCATGTGCAGCACTGAGGATTGAACCTGGGTTGGTCACAAATAAAGCAAGCTTCCTTGCCCCCTATATCACCCCACAGGCCCAACCGCCCCCAGCACCTTTTTACCTAATACCTCCTTCTAGATGCTCCATTCTCTGAACTTGTGCAAACAACTCCTCAGCCTGAAATACTATCACCTTCTACTCCTTTTCTGCTCTCATCCTTCAACTGTGAAAGCTTACCTTCTCCGACAAACTTGACACCGAAAATGAGGTTAAATACTCTTGCTCCCCCCGCCCCCATCACACACACACTTTTTGGGACTGGCCTCACAAGCAGTGCTGAGGGGCTAGGAAATCATCCTAGCAATACACAACCATCCGTACTGGGCAATTCAATGCCAGGGCCCAGGATGTGCTGCAGCTCAGGCCCAGCTGTGCTGAGAACTATGATGTTACCCCCAAGATACTTGGGGGCCTTTAAGGCTATACCTGATGGAACTGGGGGTGAAGGGGGTGTGGAGCTAAAGGTGGAACTCAGCACGCACCCTGACCCCTAAGCTATCTCCCCACCCCACTCTTGGTATTTTTGCTCTAACTCTACCTTTAATATTTACCACATCTACAATTGCTAGATTTAAATCAGTCCCTTCCAGTACTATACATACTTCAAGAGTAAGTATCTGTTTGTCCGCCGTCATCCAACTCCTTGGCATTCTGTACAAACCCAAAAATATTTGTTCAATGAATAATATCTTACCCTTGAGTGATATCTGTACCATGCCTCAAGGACTTTTCAGCCTTACATTAGAGACCTCTAGTAAACTCCACCTGTAGCTCTGTTCCTTTTAGGTACAATGTAAACACGTTCTCTCTTTTCTCTTTGGGACAATTGTGAAATATGCCAACTCCTTCAACATATCTCTATAGCTATTTCTGGCACTGCTTCATTTTCTTACAGCACACCTAGGTCTAAAGTAGAAAGTATTATGTGTACTCTTGGAATTTTTTTTTTTTTTATGGAAGCCAGAGGCCAGAGAGATAGTACTAGGATTGAGGCACTGACTTTCCATGTGGCCAACCCTGGTTTAAGACCAACCCCTGAACACCCCAGGAGTGATACCTGAGCAGAGCCAGGAACAGCCCTGACTGCCAGAGGGTATGGCCCAATAGCCCCTACAAAAGGAAAACTTTCACAAAGTAACATTTTCAAGTGTTGGAATACCTCATAAAGGTTTTGTTGTTGTTTTCTTCTTTTTTTTTTGGGGGGGGGGGCATGCCAAGTAGTGCTGGGGCGATTTCTGGCTCTGTCCTCAGGAATGACTCTAGCAGTTCAGGGGATCATACATAGTGTATAGTGTCAGGATTAGAACCAAGATCATGACCACTGCTGCCACATGCAAGTTAACTGCCTTACCTCCTATACTGTTTTTTCTGGCCCTGACAGATTTGTTTATAGATGCTGTGGATCACATCCAGGGCCTCATACATCCAAGGCAAATGTTCTACTGCTCCTGGCTGTGCTCATCACTCTTCAATGGTAATACAAGTACCTGTAAATTTGCTGCTTTTTATACTTGCCCTTTACTGACACCTAAGAGTCTACATAGCCCACTCATCTACAAATCAAGCACCTTCTCTTTATTGTGGAATTAGGGGCCAGAGATATAGTACAGCAGTGAAGGCACTTTAGCATATGGTCCCAAGAGCTTAGATAAGTGATCGCTCAGAGGAGAGCCAGGAGTAAGCCCTGAGCACTGCCCAGTGTGGGCTCAAAACCAAAATATATAAATTGTGCAATTAAAGAAAAAAACCCCCAACTTTCAAAACACAAAACAAGGAAACCCCAAAATCAAAACATCAATGCTAGTCTCCCTTGTATCAAGATTCACATGATGACTCCGGTTCAGCTCGACCAGCGGGTGGGGGTTTTTGGGGATCCTCCTCAGTGGTACTGGGGCTTCGGGGACACTGTGGGAAACAAGATTTGACAACAAGGGCCTGACAGCTTGGTGTTCATACTGGTACTGGCTGATCTCCAAGGCCACACCCAGCAGTGTTGGGGGCCACCCAATATCTAGCAAGCTCCCCATACCTCTGAACTCCTCTCCTGGGTCCGTCAGCTCCTTAAGTCCAAAATGAAGTGTTTGGGGGTTGGAGAGAGAATACAGCAGGCAAGATGCTTGCCTTGCACACAGTCAACCTGAGTGTGATCCCGCCTGCCCCCCACCCCCCACTTCCCAGGATTGATTCCTGAGTGCAGAGCCAGGAGTAAACCCTGAGCACTGCAGGGTGTGGCTCCCAAGCCAAAATAAATAAGATGAAGTGTTTAGCACAATTCCTCAAACTCCTTCGAAGGAAATATTTTTGTTGTCGCAATATTAACAATTTAATAGGCACAGGGATGTCAATGCTTATGCCACCGCAGATATCCGCAGGAAATCTAATACTTGATCAGTTTTCGGTTCTATGAAGGGTTTAAATAGGTCTGAATCACGGGTTCAAGAAGGATGCACAAAACAAACTGGTATTTGGGGAGAGGGTGCTTCTATGCGAGAAGGGCTTCTAGAACGCACGTTCCAGGTACTGTTCCCGTCCCACATTTGTCAGGCGTCGCACGGAATGCCCAAAGGTGCTCTGCAAGAACAAACTGGCCGGTAAGACGTGCTGGTTTTCACCACTGCCCCATCTCCCTTGCATAAACGGCTCGGGCGCGGGGGGACCTGACCCCGCGTCAGCCAGTCGCACGAATGTCTACACCACAGGCCTGCAAAGATCACCTCAGCGCAACGTCGGCCTGAGCGGCGCCGTCCCCCGCCAAGAAAAGTTAGCGAGGCTCGCAGCCGTCTCCCAGCGGAGGGGTTGGGAGCGCCCTCGGCGGGCCCGGGGCCTTCTCCCACCCTCCTGCTCGGCGGCGAATTCCAACCTCGACCCCCGTCCCCGCACCCCCTCCCGCGCCGGGCCGACCGCCCAGCCCCCGCCCCGCGCCGCGAGCGCGCCCTGACCTCCTCGAACTGCTCGCCGGAACAGCCGGCGCCGCGAGCCTCCAGCACTTCCCGGAACTGCTCCAGGGTGACGGACTCCTCGCCGCGGCCCAGCCGCTCTTCCAGCCAGCGCAGCAGCGCGCCGTGGTGCCTCGACACGAGCGACTCGCTGGGCGGCACGGGCCGCAGGGCAGCCGCCGCTTCGCGCAGGCGGGCGGGCTCCAGCAGAGCCGCGGCGGGCGGCAGCGCCGGGGCCGCCGGGCCCGAGCCGGGGGTCGCGCTCAGCTCCTCGACCCAGTCTTGAAGCGGGCCCCAGCCCTCGCCCCCGGCGGCTGCCGCCTCGTCCTCACTGCCGTGGCTCGTCGCGTTCCCCATAGGGCTCCGTCTCGGGCGCCGGGCCGTGCCGGTGCCGCCGCCGCCGCCGCCGCCTCCCCGCCACGACCTGTCAACCTCTCCGACGGCACCGGGCGGGCGGGGACGGGGAGGAGACGGCGGCGGCGACTTCCGGCTTCCTCGCCGTCAAGCGAACGCGCTGTCGCAAAGGCGCCGTGAAGCGGACCCCACCGCCTCACGACACCGAGGCGAGGACCGCTGTTTCCACCAGGGCGCGTCTGCCACGGAGCTACGTCACGCCGCCATCTCTTTCGCCCCCATCTTCAAGCGGGCGGGCAACGTGCACGCCGGGAGGGGCTTCCGCCGCCTCGCTCTCGGCACGCCTTCGCTTTCGACAGCGGAGCGGAAACTTTACGAGGCGGAATCGAAGCCATCGCTGGACCTTTCCGCCGGACGATTTCCCCGCCGGCCCTGGGCTGTGCCCCGCGGCGCCGAGCCGACGGGGCGGGGCGCGCGAGCGGCGCGTCGGTGACGTCACGACCAGCTTCTCCGCCATCTTGGTTGTGGCTCGAGCGGCGGCACCGTCGGCGGGCGGAGGAGGCGCGGCGGGCCAGATGCTGCGCCTCGGCGGGCGTGGGCTCCTGCTGGGTGTGGCCGTGGCCGCCGCGGCGGTGCTGGCGGCGCGCCTGCTGGGCTCGTGGCGTCCACGCGCTGACGTTCGCCTGTTCGTACCCACGGAGCTGGCCCGCTACCGCGGCGGCCCCAAGGACCCGGGGCTCTACTTGGCCGTGCTCGGCCGCGTCTACGACGTGTCCTCGGGGCGGCGGAACTACGAGCCTGGGGCCCACTATAGCGGCTTCGCAGGTAGCGGCAGGCGCCTCGCGGTCTCCGGCGCCGCCAGCGGTCGCCGCCCTTCCGCGCCCCTTCCTCTCTTCACCATTCGCCCGACCGGTTTTCTCCCTCCTTCGTGGGATCGGCGTGAGGTTGTGGTCTCGGCGCCTCCTCCTGGTCTGCCTCGTCTGCCTCAGGCGCCCTCCCTCCCCCGCCGTGTCCCCGTCGTTGCGCGCGGCGTGGGTCGCCAGACGCGCTTCTCCTGCCTCCTGGCCCCTGGCCCGCACCCTTGGACACGCTTGCGGACCTGCCTGGTGCCAGACCGCGTCGCTCCCGAGCAGGGGCGCCCCGGCTCTGCTTAGCCCGGTCTTCTCTTCAGTCGGCCCCATCAAAAATCGTCTTTCTTCACCCCAGTCCTTCTTTCCCTCACAATCGTACCTTTTGGTTTGAGTCATTCTTGCTTCTAATGGGAATACAGCTGTCTGCTTTTCTTTAAAAAAAATCGGAGAGAGTGCAAAGGACTGAAAGCGTGCAGGCAGGAGCCCAGTATTCAAACCCGGGGGGGGGGGCAGGGGCGTCTGTTCGCCCCACACCCCCGTGGCCCTGGAGCCGGGTATGGCCTCAAAAAAATTATGACATTTAGGGTGCAGAGAAGAGGTCTGGTCACTTTTAAAGGCCCCCAAAATATTCTTAAGGCTGGTAGCACTGCCTTTATTTTCTAGCTTACAGCTTTGAAGTATGATTGAAGTGTATGATTTGCCCAAAACTCTCCGGCTAAATGCTTGATCCTTGGACTAGGGCCACTAGCCTATTTTATAGAAGTCTCCTTCCCTATCTAGAAGGTCCGTTTCCCACACTTAAGGAAAGGAGGAGCTGGAATGATAGTACAGCGGGTAGGGGGGTTCGATTCCCAGCATCCCATATGGTCCCCTGAGCACCGCCAGGAGTAATTCCTGAGTGCATGACCCAGGAGTAACCCCTATGCATCCAAGTGTGACCCAAAAAGCAAAAAAAAAAAAAAATGGAGGCTTGCTTTTGAAGCCCATCTTCTCCTGTGAACATATATCTCGCTTGCTTGTCTCCCTGCCTCTGCTTGCTTTTTCTACTCTGAAGAAACCCATTTTCTCTCTTGATCACATACTCTTCTCTTTCTCTCCCCTCCTGTCCAAGTAAGTTCCATTCAATAAGAACTACCTTCCTTCGGGCTGGCGCGATAGCACAGTGGGTAGGATGTTTGCCTTGCACACGTCTGACCTGGGATCACCCCCTCATCATCCCATATGGTCCCCTGAGCACCACCAGAAGTAACTCCTGAGTGCAGAGCCAGGGGTAACCCCTGAGCATAGCAAAAATAAATAAAAACTTACCTTCAATTTAAAATTAAAAAAAAGGAAAAGAATATGCTGGATTAACCTAAGACCAGTGACGAGAATGGGTGCATATTTTTGTATGCTGGAGTTTTGCCCAGACGTGGTGTGGTGTGTCAGTACCACCAGGACCAATCCCTAGCACCAAACCAGGAGAAGCTCCTGAGCGTTGCTGGGTGTTGCCCAGAAACAAAATAGGAAAACAGGGAAGGGTTGAATGTAAAGGCCTATTGGGGTCTGCTTTAGCAATTAAAAAATTAATGATGGCATGGGCCAGAGTGATGGTATAGTGAGTAGGGTACTTGCCTTGCATGAGACTGACCTGGGTTTGATCCCCAGCACCACGTAAGGTCCTGTGCCTCCCCCAGGAGTGATCTCTGAGCACAGGTTGGGTGTGCTTCTCTCTCCACTGTTAGCCCCTAAAATGACAGCCTGGGTTTGCTTCATAGTAGATGAAGAAAAGTAGACTGATATGGGGTGTGGGTTCCGTGGGACTTCATTCATGGAAAGTGGCCTGGAGCGCTGGGAGCCCTCCATACCCCAAGGGACCCAGCCCCGGCAGCCGACCTTCACTACCCAACCATCGCCATGCTCCAGGCCACTTTCCGGACCCTGCAGACACATTATAAGATACTTCCTACTCATTTATGCCTCTCGGAGAGCCTGGCAAGCTACTGAGAGTATCCAGCCCGCATAGGCAGAGCCTGGTAAGCTACCCATGGCGTATTCGATATGCCAAATACAGTATTGACATATCATTATTCATTCCCCTGACCCTGAAAGAGCCTCCAATTGGACGAGTAAGAAGAGGCTGCTAAAATCTCGGGGCTGGGAGGAATAGAGACGTTACTGACACCCACTCGGTTAATTAGATGATCAGTGGGATGACAGTGATACAGTGATGGGACGTGGGGGTCGGGGGAATCATAGGATTTGGAAACTGATTGGATATGAAGGATAAAGGAAGTGTAAAGGACTATGTTTCTGATTGAGCAAATGATAATTTCATGAGATTGGAAATGCTAGAATACATAAAGGTTTTCTGGGGTGTAGACACTTATGACCATGTAGGTAAATGCAGGCATGTTCTTGCCAGGAGGAGGTGCCCTTCCAGGCCCAGGAGCCACTCCTGATGAGGCACATTCCAGTTGTGCAGACTGGACAGTTCAATGCTTAGGCCCAATGAAACAGTATTGGTTGAGCCCAGCAGAGGCCTCTGCATGCCCTGCATGCACTCCAGCTCTTTGAAATATCCTGCCCCTGGACATGTTAGAGATTAGTAGGGGCTGGCGAGAGAGTGCAGTGGGTAGGGCACTTACCTTGCATACCCAACTCTCCCCAGCACCCCATATAGTCCCTTGAACCCCACCATGAGTGATTACTGAATGCAGAGGCAGGAGTAAGCTCTGAGCTTGTTTAGGTGTGGCCCTCTAAACAAATATATTGGTTGGTAGTGTGGACATTTTGTTTTGGTGTTGGGGGTCACTACAACTTTGCTCAGGACTTAACTCCTGGCTCTGCACTCGGGTCACTTCTGGAAGGTTTGGGACCATAGGCGGTGGCGGGGATTAAATTTGGGTTGGCAGCATGCAGGGCAAGTGTGTTATCCACTGTCCTATCTCTTTTGCCTCAAAGCAGACATTTTGCACTAATAGCTGTCACAAGTCTGGAGATCAAGAGAAAACTGAGGTTAAGATTTAATATCTGACAGTGTTTGGCATAAAGGTGGAATTCCAAACTGTGGGAGTTTGGAATTGTTAAGTGGAGGATGTGAAGATTGTTAAATTGGAGATGAAATTGTTAGGTGGAGAATGTGGATGGAAGAAAGGAGTTGGACAAGAATTGATCCCTGAGGCTGATAGAAAATGGTCTCAAGAGGGAGCTTTGTCCTATATTAAGTTCTTTCACTGCTGGGGAGTTTCTCTTTTACTTACTTTCCAGTAAATTTGTATTTCTAAAACAGATCTAGAGAGGGGGTAGGGCGTTTGCCTTGCACGTGGCCGACCCGGGTTTGATTCCCAACATCCCATATGGTCCCCTGAGCACCGCCAGGAGTAACTCCTGAGTGCAGAGCCAGGAGTAACCCCTGAGCATCGCCAGGTGTGAACCAAAAAGAAAAAAAACAAAAAAGATCTAGAAAGGGTAAGAGAGATAGTACAGAGGATAGGACACTGGCCTGGCTTGCAACTGACCCAGGTTCAATCCCTGACAATCCAGATGGTTCCTTGAGCCTGTCAGGAGTGACCCCTGAGCACCATGTGATGTGGCCTCAAAATTTTTTTAAAAAAATTAAAGAGGAGATGGAAAACTAGGAGTATCGGGTCATACAAGTGAAAAAGAGTGGTTGGCTGTATTCAGTATTGCTGAAAATGAATGAAAGAAAGATCGTTTCTCAGAAAACAGAATGTTGAATTGGTGCAGTGCAAGTTGTTTACAGGGTAGTCTATGTTTCTCTGACAGGCCGAGATGCATCCAGAGCATTCGTGACTGGGGACTACTCTGAAACAGGCCTCGTGGATGATGTTTCTGACCTGTCACTTTCTGAAATGCTGACACTTCAAAATTGGCTTTCATTTTATGAGAAGAAATATGAGTTTGTTGGTAGGTATTTCACAGATTCTCTTTATAGGTTTCATTGTTTTTTCCTGTAATTTTTCTTTTTTGCCATACCTGGCAGTGCTGAGACACACAGGGTTCCATGCAGAGCCTGTGCCCCAGTGCTTTCCTGCAAGCTGAGCTCTCTCTAGCTCTTTATTGCATTTTGGTTTGTTGATGTTGTTGTTGTTGTTAGGCTGGAGCGATAGCATAGCAGGTAGGGCATTTGCCTTGCATGCAGCCGACCCAGGTTCGATTCCTCCGTCCCTCTTAGAGAGCCTGGCAAGCTACTGAGTGTATCCTGCCCGCACGGCAAAGCCTGGCAAGCTACCCCTGACGTATTCAGTATGCCAAAACAGTAACAACAAATCTCTCAATGGAGACATTACTGGTGCCTACTCGAGCAAAGTGATGAACAACGGGAGGATAGTGTGCTGCAGTGCTACAGTTGTTGTTGTTGTTGTTGTTGTTGCAGCACACCTGGCTGTATTCAAGACTTACTCCTGCCTCTGTGTTAAGTGATCACCACTGGTGGTGCTCAGGGACCTACCTTGTGTGGTGCTGAAGATCAAAATGGGTGGTCTGCATGCAAGACAAGCACCTTAAACCCTGTATTATCTCTAGCCCTCCTGCAGTATATTATTATTATTACTATTATTTGCTTTTTGGGTTACAGCCAGCAATGCGGAGGGGTTACTCCAGGCTTTGCACGCAGGAATTACTCCTGATGGTTCTTGGGGGACCATATGGGATGCTGGGAATCAAACTCGGGTTGGCTGCGTGCAAGGCAAGCACCCAACCCGCTGTACTATCGCTCCAGCCCCAAGTATATTATTTTATTTTGCATATGCATGCGTGTGTACGTGTGTGTATGTTTGAGGTTGAAGGGTTTGGGCCATATCTGGTGGTACTCAGGGCTAATCCTGGCTTTGTACTCAAGGATCATTCATGGCAGGGCTTAAGGGATCATATGTGGTATTAGGGATCGAACAACTCAGCCATGTGTAAGAAAAGCATCCTACCCACTGTATTATCACTCTGGAACTCAAAGTTTTTTAAATGAATTATAATTAAAGGGGAAGGGAATATGAAGTGAAGGTTGAAATAGGATTCTCCTCTTCCTCTCCCACCTCCTCATAGTCTTTGTCCATTCATCCCCTCCTTCTTCCTCCTTTTTTCTTCATTTTTGGTTTTGTATTGGGGCCACACTCAGAAGTGCTCAGGTCAGGGCTTACTCCTGGCTCTGTTCTCAGGAATCACTCTTGGTGGTGCTTGGGGACCATATATATAGTGCTAGGAATCAAAACTGGGTTGGGTGCAAGGCAGGCATCTTATTTTTATTTATTTATTTATTTATTTTGTCACACCCGGCTATGCACAGGGGTTACTCCTGGCTTTGCACTCAGAAATTACTCCTGGCGGTACTCAGGGGACCATATAGGATTCTGGGAATCGAACCTGGGTTGGCCGTGTCAAGGCAAACACCCTACTCACTGTGCTATTGCTCCAGCCCCAAGGCAGATATCTTAACTCCTATACTATCTCTCTGGCCCCAAACCCCTTTTATCTTCTAGAGAGAAAAACATTGTCTATATCCATCCTGAGTGAATATTCTCCCAAGTGGAATTTAGACTAATCAAACATTTGTTAAAAACCGTTACAGAGCACAATCATTTCAGAAACACTGCAAGTAAATAAAGAAATACTAGACACAGAACTGGAGAGACAGTACATCTGTAGAGCGTTTGTTTTGCATACAGCCAGCTTGGGTTTGATCCTCAGCATCCCATTAGGTCCCCCAAGCACCGCCAGGAGTAATTCCTAAGTGCAGAGCCAGGAATAACCCCTGAGCATTGGCAGGTGTGACCCAAAACAAAAAAGATATGTTAGACACTAACTACATGTAGTGTAAGTGCCTTAATCCCTGCACTACCTCACAACCTCCTAAATGTGAATTATGGGTAAGTTATGGTTCTACTCCTCATAGACCAAGGATGAGTTCATTGAAGCTCTTGAACTCTCTCAACCGCTCATTCTGAGGAAAGAGGGTTGGTGTGGGACTCTTTCAGGGAATCAAAACACTTCAGAATATCATAAAGGACACAAATTTATCATATATACTAAAGTGAAGATAACCCAGAAGCCATTGTGGCGCCACATGGGCAGACCTCAAGGGAAAATGAGAAGTGTTTTGTTTTCTGGTTGTAACACTGGCTTAGGACTGGAGCAACAGTACAGCAGGGAGGGTGTTTTCCTTGCACACAGCAGACCCACGTTCAATCTGCAGCATCCCATATTGACCCCTGAGTACCACCAGGAATGATTACTGAGTGCAGACCGAGAAGTAAGCCCTGAACACCGCCAAGTGTGGCCCCATCCTTCCACAAAAAATCCCCACAAAAACACTGGCTGGAGACGTAAACACTAGTGGCCATTATTCTAATACGACAGCTTTTAGAATTATAAAGACTCATTTTCTTTGGGGGCCAGAGCAATAGTACAGTGGGTAGGGAGTTTGCCTTGCATGCTACCAATCTAAAGTTCAATCCCTGATACCCCATTTGGTCCCTGATCACTACCAGGAGTAATTTCTGAGTGCAGAGCCAGAAGTAATGACTTAGCATTTCTGGTGTGACCCCCAAACAAAGCAAAATGCAATCATTTTTCTTTTGCCTCTGCTACTACTCAGTTTGTCCTTATGGGCCTGACAGTTCAGTGCTTTGGCGAAAAGATGTGGTGCTACTCCAGCCTAGTGGTTCAGCTCTCCACTGAGAGCTTCATCCTGTGATGCTGGAACAGGGGGCACATGGGTATCAGGGATCAAATTCTGGGCCTAGTGGCTGGAAAGATACTGTAGGCAGGACATTTGTTTTGCATTTGGTTGATCTTGGTTTGACTGTGGCATTCCTTTTGGTCCCCTGAGCTCTCCTGGAGTGATCCCTAAGTGCAGAACCAAGGAATAAACCCTGACGACCACATATGTCACCACATATGACAAAATTTCAGGTCTCGCACATGCCAGTCATATACTCCAGCCTTTGTTTTTGGTGTGGATGGGGTGCATTCAAGCCGTACCCTGCAGTACTCAGTGGCGAGTTCTGGCTCTTACAGAGGTGCTCAGGGAACAAAATGTAGTGCTGGAGATTTAATCCTGTGAGCTATATGCAAAGCAGACACCTTATCCTCGTACTACCTTTTTAGTCCCATTTTATTAAAAGATCACCCTGGTTGCCTACTGGGGAGAAAACGTTAGAAAGACAGGACTTAAGTAGAGAGACTAGTTGGGAGGCTTCTGTTGTGCCTTTCATTTGTATTAGGATGGCAGAGGTGGAAAGGGGAAAGAATGGACATACGGGACCGGGGGCAAAGTGTTTGTTTTTTGTGTTTTTACAGAGGCCTTACCCAGTGGTGCTGGATTCTGTGTATGATAAGGAATGGGGGTGAGGGAACTCCTGCAGTACTGGGGATAAAACTAAGGGTCTTGCTGGAGAAAGCCAGGCTTAATCTCCAGCACCACGTCGTCCCCTGAGCACCATCAGGAGAAATGCCTGAGTATTGCCAAGTGTGATTCAAAAACCACAAAAAAAAAAAAAAAAAAAAAAAAAAAAAAGGAAAAAAAAGGCACTGGAGAGATAGTATAGGAGGTAAGGAGCTTGCCTTGCTTGCTGGAGTATGATCCCTGGTACCACATATATTCCCCAAACACCACCTGGTATCGCCTCTGAGCACAGAGCCAGCAATAGCACATGAGCACCTCTGGGTGGCCCCAACAAAAACCTGAACTAAGGACCTCACAGATTTGCTTTTCCACTTGACCAGTCTTCTAAGCACAGGGTGTTTTTTGAAGATCGACTGGCAAGTTTTGCTGATGGATATGAATGAAGGGCAATGAACATTTAGATGCAAAGAGGAGGAGTCAGAGATCTAAACCTCCTGAACCAGATAACAGAGACTAAAACTGACAAATAAGGGACCAGAGCCATAGTACAGTGGGGAGGGCGTTTTCCTTGCACAAAGCCAAACTGGGTTTGATTCCCCGCATCCCATATGGTTCTCTGAGTCCTGTCAGGAGTGATTCCTAAGTGCAGAGCCAGAAATAACCCCTGTGCTTGCAGATGTGGCTCAAAACAACAACAAAAGTGAAAAAATAGAATCGAAAAACTCTGTATAGAGTTTTTGAGAAGATACATTGATTCTCGGACATACAAATCTAAGTTGGGTCACAGGGATTGAAGAATTAGACCCACTAGCTGAGACAGGGAGGTAATCCCTCCTACAAGATCAAACCTAGAAGTGCTTTCTGCTCTTTCTCTTGCCTGGTGACAGGTGCTATCCGTGAAGTCCTTTTATAGGACCTGGAGATGGGCATGGAAGTGAATGAGACTAAGGAAAATTGATGCTTTTCTAATTCTGCCTTATAGACTCAGACCATTAAACATGGAAACTAGCTGCTTCCGTAGCACAGGCCATTAGCAGTTTAGAGAGGGATTTTAAGTCAAGTTTCCACTTACTATGTCCTCTAAAACAGCATTTCTCAGCCAAGGTTCAATGGGCTCCTGGGATGTTTCAAGGGGGTCCCAGGTTTATAGCGTGTAAATGGGGACCACATTATGAGACCAGGGGATCGGCCAATAGATCAGGGGCCGGAGGAAGGAAAGGTTGCTGGAAGTGGGACATGGTTCAAAAAGGCTTGAGAAACAGCTACTCTACAGGACTGAGCCAAAAGAGAACGATGGCTGGGAGAGTATGAGATTGGGCTGGATTCACAGTTTCCCAGACTTCTCTGAAGTGTGTGTTCTTCTAGTCTCCCAGGAATAAGGGATCACTGATACCTCTCTCAGAGGACTGTCAAGGATTAATAGGGTATTGGCAAAGTATTAATATCATGCCTACTGCAGAGTAAGCACTAAAATATGTATAAACATAGACAAAGTAACCTGAGGAATCAAAACTTGAGGAAGAATATTACTTGGGAAGCTATTCACCTATCAGAGATTTATTGAATGCCTACTGTATGTACCCAAAACCTCTGGGTCCTACTCTCAGGACTCTAATGTCTGGAAGTGAGAGATTTGATCATTATGGATTCTACATATGATTCTACTTTTCAGGAAACCAATATCCTCTGTACTAGAGGAGCTGTATAGGGATGCTTCTACTGAGTACTGTAAGATGCTGAGCCAGAAGACACCACAGTCACTCCACATGCATCATATGTACGTCCAACACAAACACAGGTACCCTGCAGGCGACTTTCCATCGAGCCCTGAGTTCAGCACTTCTGGCACTTGTGCTTTGCTCGGCTGTTTCAGTGCCACCTTCTGTGCATGCCTGTCTCCACTGTACCTCTGACACCAGCTTTCCTGTCACCACAGGAAGGGTGATAGGAAGATACTATGGCGAGGATGGGCTCCCTACCTCAGAACTGATGAAGGTAGAAGCCATGATCAGCAGAGGCCAAGACGCCAATAAACAGCAACAGAGAGAAAGGCAGACATTTCCGCCCTGCAATAGTGAGTGGAGCTCAGCCAAGGGCAGTCGATTCTGGTGCTCCCCAGAAAGGTAACCAGACTTCCCTTTCATTCCTTTCTGTCTCCCAAAGCAGTCTCCTCCGTCATCCTGTCTGTCTAATTTGGTGAAACTGTCAGTTGACTCTTAACTCGGGAGAATGTTTCCAACAGACACATGCACTGGGATAGTGGGGTCTAAAAATTTGCCACCTCTTAGAACCTTTTAGAAAGCCTTGAAAATCACTCAAGTTAGCGGCATATTCCAGAAAACTAGATGAGAATATGAGGGTCGAGACTTAGGTATGTTATTCATTCTTTATTTTCCCTCTTTTAATGGGTGTGGGGAAACCTTCCCAGAAATGCAGGGGCCCCAATTATCAATTCTCAACAACCAGACCAGCAGTTCAATGGGAGGGCTTGTTGCAAATGACTTATGTGAAGTGGGGAGAAGTGAGGGAGCAGACTCCAGTGGGTGGCCTCCCACCTTCATTGTTACTCTCCTTTGTCACTGGAGAAGTGCCTCGGGGGTTCTGGACTGATGAAAGTTTGCTCTGAGCACCTACGTGTCACAGACCTTCTGTGTCATCAACTCCACAAGAAACGTATAACCACCTGAGTCCCACCTGATCTATATATATGTCACAGGAATTTATCCCCACCACCCGAGGGTTTCTTAGGGAACTGTGGGTTCAGGAGAGAAAGAAGAATTTCTTTTGTAGGAAAAGGAAAATCAGCCCTAACCTCTATTTAGAGTTTTGGCCCAAGAAATTCTGTGGTGCTACATTCAAGTTATATGTCCTAACTCCTACTATCTTCTCTGTCTCTTAATTTATTCTTAATTTCCCAGAGATCATGCTGTGTAGGATGACATTGCTTTGTCTTTTCTCCCTTGCCACAAGGAGCTTAGGCTTATCCGGTCACACCCACCCCAGTGTTCCCCAGTGACTCCTTCATTTCGTCCACAGTCTGCCCCATAGCCTGGGCCGCCCTGGCTGGGGGGTGGCCTGGGACCCCCAGAAACTGGGTGGCCCGAGGAAGAACCATCGGGGCCACCCTCTGGCTGTCCTCGGAGTTTTTTACAATGCTGAATAAACCCTGACCAGGGAACAAAGAGACAAATAATTAGTTCTTCCTCTCTGTGGCCTGTTCTATCTAGTGGCCTCACTTTCCCCCGAGACAAGCCCTTAGGAGACAGGGAGGGGGCACACTGGCAGCGACGACGAGGTACTGTCTTCAAAACATTGAAAAGTCTGAGTAATTACAGAAGCATGGACTAAATAGGGAAATCCATTCCTGAAAAACTAAAGGGAAGGAAGCCAGATATGAAGAGATGCCACAGGTATTCTTCCAGATGGTTTTGGAGAAGCTCTAGAAAACAGTTCCTCCCAGCTCCTCAGGCTGGATAGATAGTTCAGCAGGTTAAGTCCCTGGCACCATGTGCTCCCTAGCACTAAGCTGTAATTAGCCCAAGCACTGCTGGGCGTGTGCCCCAAAACAAAGGGCCTGAAGAGAGCTAGTGTCCATGATTTGCATGCAGGAGACCCCAGTTTGATTTCCAGCCCCACACGGGTGCCCCCTGCCCCCTCCAATACATACACACATACACACACACACACACACTCTCTCTCTCTCTCTCTCTCTCTCTCTCTCTCTCTCTCTCTGTCTCTCTGCTGGTTACTGCCCCAAACACAAAAACCAAACAAGATTTTTGTTCCTGTTTTCATTGCCAGGCCAGTGTGGCCCCAGTGCAACTTGAGCCCCTCTAAGTCTGAGGAAGGTGGGCAAACCTGTTCCCCACACCCATCCTCCAGGGCCTCAAGTCTCAAACTGCTCCCTCTCATGGGGGGGTGGGGTGGGGAATTCTACCTGAACTGAGGGAAGACTTCAGTAGGGGCTAAGGGAGGTGAACTTGCCTTTCAGGGCCCTGAGCCATTCTTTGTCCCTCGCCTTGAAGCTTCTTTCTTGCATTGACCAAAGCCAACAGCCAAACCTCAGCCTTCTCTAGATCCAGCCACTGTTTCTGTCACACATAGTTTTCCCAGGTCTGCAAGAGGGGAAGGTGTAGTGGGTAGTGGGTATGGAGCTTCTCCGGTGCCATCTAGTCTCTGGTCACAGGACTGCAAATCTGCTGGCCCACTTCCAGCTGGGACACACGCCTGAAAGCAGGTGGTCACAGAGGGTACCTGTGTACCCTAGGAGAGTACCCAGAGGCTTGTGCACCTTAAGGTGCCATAACTTAGCTCCCACAGAGGGCTGTCTCTCCCTCCCACAGAACCCTCACCTTTGAATTGCTTCCAGGACTACAGAAGACCTTTCTTTCTTAGCTGTAAGGAATTTAGTGCTATCCCTATGCCTCAAGGTAAAATCCATTGTTTTCTGCAGGCTGGCTGAGGAGCAGCTTCCCAGCACCCTGCCAGCCTTTCCACCAGGAAAGCTACAAGTGACTTGGTTTCTAATATCATCACGGGTACTAGAATATATTGTTTAAGGGGTCCGAGTCCCACATGTATGGGGTGTTCTAAGAACCTCATTCTCCTTTTTCAAGATTGGTGAACCCGCAGAAAGCTGATCAGGTACCCTTAGAAGAAGTTCTCGTCCAGGAGAAGAGGTTGCTTCAGACTTTGTTGGGCTGGAGTTTGATCCCCCTCCTCGAGCCTGGCAGTTCCAACACTAGTCCTGTGCTGGGGCAGGACAGCTGGCAGCTTACAGCCCACGCTACGGCCTTCCCAGAGGAGAAGGCATAGGACCTTCCATTGTCCGGCACCTGTCCATCCCACCCAAGAGCCCCAGATTCAAAGACCCCTGGGGCAAGGGGAAGGTGCTTGCCAGGGTTCGATCCCTGGCATCCCATAGGTCCCCCAGGCACTATCAGGGATGTTTCCTGACTGCAGAGCCATGAGCAAGCCTTGAGCATCATCATTGTGGCCAAAAACGAAACAAGTAAACACACATTTACGCTACACACATACACACACAAGGGATCTAGTAGCTCTGGAAGGGAAGGAAGACCCAGCTCCTGCTTTTGAGATCAGAGCCTGCTTTAATGCAGCATGCAGACCAGTTGGAGAAAACCTGTCAGAGTGCTACCAGTGCAGGATGCTGGGACTGGGGAGCACAGAGAAGAGAGGCTGCCCCTGAGGGACGCTGCGGTGAGAGCCCAGAGGTTCACAGTACATACCATCACCACCTTGGAAATCCCCGCGACGGGGAGTGGGGTGGCTTCTGTTTTCTCAAAGCCTGGCTCACTGCTTCCGTGTTCTCTTTCCAAGGAGATTGATGAGTTCATGTTTTCATGAAACCCGTGTTCCTTCTGTTTTTAGTGGAGGTGTGAAAAGAGACTGGACCGGCGTCCCCAGGAAGATGTACAAGCCAGGCTTCACAGAGTCCCACTGTGTGTGTGTGAGAACGCACGGGCCCCCTACCGACTGGGATCCAAACAACCCTAAACATAGTAATCGTGGCGACTTGGACCACCCCAACTTGAGGGAATACACCGGCTGCCCACCTAGGGCTGATACATGCTTCTTACCGCTCTGAGCTGGTGCTCTGTGAGCCGATAACGCAGAGAACCCTACCTAGAATCCTAAACGGCCCTTGAATCGATACTGCACTGGCTTCTGACATGAAACAAGGTGGTCCAGAAAGATTCTGACCATACTCTGCAAATATGACTTCAGTCTCCTACCCTTCTGGTGACAGGCCAGAACTTGGCAGTCTCCTGGTCAGCAGTTTTTGTCACTCCCCTAGATCCTCCTGCTGTTCATCTCCAGAGGCCTCAGATATCAATGGGTACAAATATGACTAACTCAAAACTACCTGACCCAAACAAGCAGAAGCTCTGTTTCCTTCCCATGGACGTCAGCCTGCCCAGACAGCTAATGCCCGGGTCCTGCCTGTAACTCCAAGGCCCGCCCAGGCACCAAGGGTATTGGCAGAAAAGGGGTTCTCTCTTCCTTACAACTCAAACAGGCAGAAATAGCTTAAAAAGCAAAACAAAAACAGTTCAATAAAGTGTCAACTATTATGTTTTGGGGTGTTCTTTTTGTTTTGTTTGGGGGCTGCACAGCTGGTGTGCTGTTTCTTTTAAACACTTAAAATCTGGGGGGCCGGAGCGGTAATACAGTGGGTAGGGCGTTTGCCCTGCACGCAGCTGACCCGGATTCAATCCTTGACATCCCATATGGTCCCCCAAGCACCGTCAGGAGTGATTCCTGAGTGCATAGCCAGGAGTGACCCCTGAGCATTGCTGGGTGTGACCCAAAAAAGAAAAAATCCTCAAAATCTGGTGTGGAGGGAGCCGGAGTGATAGTGCAGTGGGGAGGGCACTTGACTTGCACATGGCCAATCCAGGTTCTATCTTTGGCATCCCATATGGTCCCCTGAGCCCCACGAGGAGTGGTCCCTGAACACAGAGACAGGAGTCAGCCCTGGGCACTGCCAGGTCTGGTCACAAAAAAACAAACCAAAAAACCCAAAATGGTGTGAAGTGTTTTCAGAGGAAGAAGTCTGAAGTCTATTTTTGGTGAAGGTACTTCTACAGCTCTGACAAGGCGGTCCGTGGGCACAGCACCAAGGTTTGGGCAGACAGGCAAATCCCAACACAGATAGCTTCAACTTACCAGTCACTGAGCCTTCAACTGTCCTAGTGAGCTGTATGTCCACAGTTATGTGTAACCTCCTGCACCACTGATTGGAGAGCGTGCCCCCTCCCCACCTCACCCCTAATTACCTCCCCATCTACCTAGTGCAAGGAAAGCTTTCTGCTTCATAGATAAAATCAAGACATGCTTTTTATGTTTGTTTTGGTTTTGGAGTCACACCCAGTGGTGCTCAGGGCTTACTCCTGGCTCTGCACTTAGGGATCACTCCTTGTGGGCGTGGAGTGCTGGAGATTGAACCCAGGTAGGCCACGTGCAAGGCCAGTGCCCTACCCACTGTACTATCCTCCAGCCCCCAAAGAAGTGTTCTTATAGTTAGTTCATCTCTTCTTTCCCCAATCCCCTTAACTCTAAAATCTTAACTCTCTTCCTTTCTTTCTACCATTCATCTCTCTAAGTGGCTTTTAGGGTCACTGGCTACCAGTGAAGGCTGCCTCTCCTTGCGGTCTTGGGTGTGTCTCTGTGGCCATAGCTGTTCTTTACACTTAAGACTGCTAGGGGAAAAGGAAGCTCAGATAGAGAAGAGAGCACCAAGTAAAGGGTGTTGGGAGGATCCTCCCAGGATGGGAGAAGCATGCTGAAAGTAGACTATAGACCAAACATGATTGCCACTCAATGCCTCTTTTGCAAACCACAACACCCAATAGGAGAGAGAGAACAAAAGGGAATGCCCTGCCACAGAGGCAGGGTGGGAGGGGGACATGGGGGGTGGGATACTGGGATCCGTGGTGGTGGGAAAAGGGCACTGTTGGAGGGATGGGTGCTTGATCATTGTATAACTGAAACCCAAGCACAAAAATTTGTAAGTCTATAACTATACCTCATGGTGTTTAACTAATTAAAAAAAAAAAAGACTGTGCTGGATTTTGGTTTGTTTTGTTTTGGGCTGCATGTGGCTGTGCTCAGGGCTTACTCCTGGCACTGTGCTCAGGGATTGTTGGATAACATTGGTTTGTCCTTGCTCCTTCCTCAGGGACTCTTACCACAGTGCTCTTGAGGCACACCCAATTCCATCAGGCACTAATAATCCTATATTGCTTTTCTCTTTATTTCCTTTGCATGGTGTAGCAGTGTCCTTTTTGTATAGACATAGGAAGACAATTGATGTAACATCACGTTACAACTTTTGTAACTGTCACTGTCACTGTCCTCCCGTTTTTCATCGATTTGCTCGAGTGGGTCAGGTAACGTCTCCATCATGAGATTTGTTGTTACTGCGTTTGGCATATCGAATACGTCACGGGGAGCTTGCCAGGCTTTGCCTTTCAGGCGAGACACTCTTGGTAGCTTGCCGGGCTTTTGTGCTTAGGAGTTAAAATTGACTCTGAATAATGTTTACTCTTGGGCATCCATCATATTGACTTAAACCTCAGTTGCTTTTACTTCTAACACTCCCCCCAAAAAAAGAGGGTCCCAGTGAGGGAAAAGAATGAACCCGTAGGCTAACTGTGAGCTACCATGGCATTGAAAAGGGACAAGCTAAGGAGCATACGAAATATAATGGTAAGAGCATGGTCATGGAACAAACTGTCATGATCCAAAAAGAAGTAACTGAATAAGGACCCTGATGGGGTTAGGAAAGGCTGAGAACTGTAGTCTGGGATATAGCGAGATGTCCCCAGGAAGACATCTTTAAGCTTAAGACACTTTTAAGCTTAATATATCTCTTACTGTGTTCATACATAATGACAAAAGTATTAGTACGAAATAAATATACTATGATTGTTCACTAGCTAAGGAAAGGAAAAAGCAATACACCCTCGATCGGCTCCTACCCTTGAGCGGATCTCCTAGTAATCTAGAGTGCTGAACCCCCAGATGAGATTTTATCTCTCAGTTAATCTCCTAGAACTTCCCCTGGAGGGGCTTTACATTTTGTTTTTTTTTTTGGGGGGGGGGGTCACACCTGGCGATGCTTACGGGTTACTCCTGGTTCCGCACTCAGGAATTACCCCATATGGGATGCTGGGAATCGAACTCGGGTCGGCCACGTGCAAGGCAAAAGCCCTACCCACTGTGCTATCACTCCAGCCCCTACATGTTTATTGTTATGGTAATGTTCAACCCCACTTATGTGTACCCCAACCCTTCATGATATCTATATAAATATACTGTGAGGGAGTAAGAGGAGGAGAAAGAACTATGTTGTGAGAAAAGTAGGGAGGGGAGAAAGGACAAAATAATGTTCCCTGATTACCAGCCAGCCTGGGGCCCTGTTTCTCCACTCCCCGGCCCCCTTTCTTTGATCATCTGCGCCTTTGACCAGCCTGGGGAGGTGGTTCTTGGCCACCTAATGCACACACGCATCACACGCATGCGTTTTGAACTCTCAGGGCTCATTGCTCTCAGGATCAGGGGACCACATGTGGTGCTGGGGATGGAACCAGGCAAGTGCCTTACCCACTGTACTCTCTGATGGGGGTGGAGGGTAGGGTGGGGTGTGTGGGTCACGGCAGATGATATGCAGGGATACTACTGGGTCTGTGCTCAAGGACCACCCTGGTGGTGATTGGGGACCATATGTGGTCCCTGGGATTCGAACCAGGATCAGCAGAATGCTGTGCAAGCTTCTTGATCTCCTGTAGTTTCCTCTGTCTCTCCAGTGTGGTCTTGCTTCATGAGCACCCACTTCTGGAGTTCAGTGTCTTTCATTCCTGGGGCAGGAGCAGGCAGACGGCAGAGCTGCAATGAGGGCTTTCCTCTTCTACACAGCTGGCAGCATGAGTCCAGACTAATTGGGAACTAGTCACACCACTGCTCCCATCCTTTCCTCCTTCGTCACTCACCAAACATTGACCTAGTACCAAGTCAGGGAAGGGGAAGACTTGGGACTTCAGAGGTTACAGTATGATGAACATGCAGAGGCCATTCTTGGGAAAGCAGGGGAGAGTGTACGGATCACATCCAGTGATGTTCAGAAAAGTGAAAACAAACAAAATGAAGCACTTTTTCTTTTTTTGTGAGGAGGTGGAATAGGGGTTTCGACCATATGCAGTGATGATCAGGGGTCTTTAGGCGGTACTGGAGATCAAACCAGGGTCAGCCACAGGTCAGGCAAGAGTCTTACCTCTGGTACTATCTATCTGACCCATCAAAATGAAATACTATGGTAATTTGTGGGGTGGAAGGACGTTGGGCCATACCTGGTGATGCTCAGGGGCTATTCCTGGCTCTGTGCTTAGGAGTATCCCTGTTGGTGCCCAGGGATTTGAACCAGGGCCAGCAGGATGCAAGGCAAGTTTCTTAACCCCGGCACTATCTCTCTGGCACCCTGAATGAAGCAATCTTACTATTTTTCCTTCTTTTTAAAATCTTAGAGAAATAGGAAGAGAGACATGGGCTGAAAGTACATTCTCAGATTGAGATTGTGGATGAATCTCTAAGGTGGAAAAATGCACCCAGTGGCTAAACTTTCCAAGAATTCAGTATGGGTTTTCATTGTGATGCTCCAAAGGACTCAGCTATGAGTTGAGTGTTTTCCCGCTCAGTGCTTTCTAGTGGGAAAATGTCTCGATTATGGGCCAGATAGTACAGTGGGTAGGGTGTCTGCCTTGCATGCAGCAGACCCTGGTTCAATCCCTGGCACCAAACATTGGCTCCCAAGCACTGCCAGGAATGACCCCTGAATAATCAAGAATAATCCCTGAACACCTATGGGTGTGGCCCAGAACAAAAAAAAAGGGGAAGGGAGTGGTTTGCCTTCTCAGAGTTATTACTGCCTCATCCCTGCCTTGCTCTGGGACAAGTTATGATCAACTTGTCAGGATTGGGTCTTTTCCAGAATCTGTGATGCTCCTTTGAGGAAGAACCCCTCCCCCCTTTTTTGTTTTTGGGTTACACCTGGCAATGCACAGGGGTTACTCCTGGCTCATGCACTCAGGAATTACTCCTGGCGGTGCTCAGGGGTCCATATGGGATGCTGGGAATCGAACCCAAGTCAGGTGCGTGCATCTAACTGGCTATACTCTCCAGCTCTGGTACCCTCGTTCTTGAGAGCAATTCCAACTGCCAGACCCTTTAGATATTTGGTTCCCTTTCTTTCTTTTTACTTTCTTTAGTCCCTAGATAATGTTTCCACTGCCCTCTTTGAAGGATTTAGTGTGAACACCAAAGCCCAAGAGGAAGAGCGTCTCTTCTGCTGAGGAGAAACAGTCAACCACTGTGTGCTAGAAGGACCACTATCATGTACATTTTATAGGTACAGGAAGACAGGAAGGATAAAAGTTGCACAATACTTCCCGCTTATGATGACAAAGCTCAACTTAAAGTCCGGGCTCCTCCCTGACTGGGCAATAATGGGTGCTTGCTGGTGTTTGCATGGTTTTTGTTCGC